TGTGAGTCTGATGGGCTTCCCTTTGTGGGTAACCCGACCTATCTCTCTGGCTGCCCGTAGCATTTTCTCCTTCATTTCAACCCTGGTGAATCTGACGATTACGTGCCTTGGGGTTGCTCTTTTTGAGGAATATCTTTGTGATGTTCTCTGTATTTCCTGGATTTGAATATAGGCCTGCCTTGACCTGAAGAGTGTTTTCCAGCTTGGATTCATTCTCTTCGTCACATTCAGGTACACCTATCAAACGTAGATTAGGTCTCTTCACATAGTCCCACATTTCCTGGAGACTTTGTTCATTCCTTTTTGTGCTTTTTTTCTCTAATCTTGCCTTCTCGTTTTATTTCGTTGAGTTGATCTTCGACCTCTGATATCCTTTCTTCTGCTTGGTCAATTTGGCTGTTGAAACTTGTGCATGCTTCGCGAAGTTTTTGTGTTGTGTTTTTCAGCTCCATCAGTTCACTCATATTCCTCTCTAAGTTGTCCATTCTTGTTATCATTTCATCAAATCTTTTTTTAAGGTTCTTAGTTTCTTTTTGTTGACTTAGAACATGTTCTTTTAGCTCACGGAAGTTTCTTATTACCCACATTCTAAAGTCTGATTCCATCATTTCATCACATTCATTCTCTGTCCAGCTTTGTTCCCTTGCTGGTGAGGAGTTGTGATCCCTTACAGGAGGCGAGGTGTTCTGATTTCGGGTGTTTTCCTCCTTTTTGTGCTGGTTTCTTCCCATCTTTGTGGGTTTGTCCACCTGTCGTCTGTGTAGTTGCTGATTTTCAGATTGGGTCTCTGAGTGGACATCCAGATTGTTGATGATGAAGTTATTTCTGTTTCTTAGTTTTCCTTCTAACAGACTGGCCCCTCTGCTTTAGGACTGCTGAGGTCCACTCCAGCCCCTGCTTGCCTGGGGGTCACCTGCAGCAGCTGCAGAACAGTAAGGGTTGCTACCAGTTTCTTCTTCTGCTATCTTTGTCCCAGAATGATGCCTGCTAAATGTCAGTCTGATCAGTCCTATGTGAGGTGACTCTTTGGATATACAGGGGTCAGGGAGCTGCTTGAGGAGACAGTCTGTTCTTTACAGGAGCTCAAGTGCTGAGCTGTGAGCTCCGTTGTTCATTTAGAGCTGCTAGGAAGGTATGTTTAAGTCTGTTGGAGCAGAACTAATAAACCCCCTTTTTTTTTCACCAGGTGCTCTGTCTTGGGGGTTTAGGGCTTTATTTATGGTATCTGTTGCATTACTGCCTTTTTTTCTTTTTTTTCCTGGCCTGTCCTGCCCAGCAAGGGGGCAGCCTAGTCACTGCCTGTAGAGGTTTTGCTGAGCCTCTGCTGTGGGTGCTGCCCTGCTGCTGGCTTGTATTTCCCTGCTGCTGTTTGTATTTCCCTGCAGTCCTGTTTATATGGGTGTGGTTAGAACTGCCATGGCAATGTTGGCCCGCCTCTGTAATGGCAGACTCTCTCTGTTATGGTGGGTTGCCTCGGCAACGGCAGGCTGCATTAGCAATGGCAGACTACCTCCGTAGGGGTGGAGTGCCTCGGTAATGGCAGATGCCCCTCCCCAACAGAGCTGGGTCATCCCGGTTTTAGCTATGCTTGCTGTGAAACTCTCAACCCCGAGTGGTTCCAATTGCTGTTTGTTTGTTTTTGTGGGCGTGGAACCCGCCAAGCCTGATCACCTGGCTCCCTGCCTCAGAGCCCCCCTTTTTTTTTAAGTTGAACAATTGACTCTCTCCCAGGTGTTCCAGTCACCTGCTGAAAGGGCACCGGGATCTGTGTGATTTCCCATGCAGCGACCCACTGCACCGGCTGAAACAACGTGGCTGCCCGGGAATCTCCTGGCCTGCTTTATGTTTGAGTCCCGTTTAATCAGACGACTGGGCTAATCTGCCTTCCCGGATCTTGAATTGCCAGTTTAACAGGGCAACCAGACCAGTGAATTTTGTATGGAGAGCCACTGCACCACGGCTCCAGCCGAAACAGCTGCGCTGGCAAAAACAGCCGCACCGGCCAAAACAGCTGCTCTGGTGACCTGTGGGGCTCCTCCACCTGGGAATCTCCTGGTCTGTGGGCAATAAAGATCCATCTGGAAATACAGCGTCCACTCACCCTCTGCGCTTTCACTAGTAGCTGTAATCCTGAGTTGCTCCTAACAGCACCATCTTCCTTCCCCCCCAAAACAGCCAATTATTAATGAGAAATTTTACATTCTCAATTCCTCCTAAGTCTTTGAAATGTGGTGTGTGTTTCCATGCAGAGCTCATCTGTGTTTGGACTTGTCACATTTCAAGGGCTCAATCACCATGTGTGACTCATGGCTACAATATCAGACAGCACAGCTCTAGACTTCTAATTCCAGCTTGAGGGGGTTGCTTTAAGGTAAGAAAATAAGACTCGAATTACTGAGGGGCTTTCCTAGGCCTAAGGTGCTTGTTGGGTACACAGACTGAGAGTGGGTTCTCTCAGCTACTCATAGGGGTCTTGAATTGCTTGTATCTTGGTTTTCAGCTGCATTCCAAACTTCAGAGATAACCAAACAAGAGGTTGCCAGAAAAATGAAGCATTGCCCCAGTTTTATGAGAATGAATAATTTTCTAATATCCATTGTCTTTGATAAGAAAAGTAGACTCACATTCTAAAAAGGTTTTCAAGAAACATAAATAGGTGACTTCATACCCAGTGCATACTTAATCACTTAAAAATAACTTTTTCTGGCTGGGTGTAGTGGCTCACACCTGTAATCCCAGCACTTTGGGAGGCTGAGGTGGGCAGATCACCTGAGGTCAGGAGTTTGAGACCAGCCTGGCCAACATGGTGAAACCCATCTCTACTAAAAATACAAAAATGAGTGGGCGTGGTGGCAGGCAGCTGTAATCCCAGCTACTTAGGAGGCTAAGGGCACAAGAATCACTGGAACCTGGGAGGCAGAGGCTGCCATGAGCCAAGATTGCACTGCTGCACTCCAGCCTGCACTTGGCAACAGAGCAAGACTTGGTCTCAATCAAATAAAATTAAAAAATAAAACCAATGACTTTTCAGAGTGAGAGTATGGAACCAAATTGACAGGGTACGTGCATCAATTATCAAGATCATTCATCTCAGCCCAGATGGACTCAAACTCTTGCAGGTAGTTTGCTCTTTGAAGTAACCCATGCATGCCAGATTCACAGAAACCTGTGTTTCGCCAGTGCTTCCTCTCCTCATCCCCTAGCAGATTCCATACGACCCTCTGGTGCACCACAAGTCAAGCTAGCTGATAACTGGTGTCCATGCTTGCCCCTTCCATTAGATTGAGAGTATTTCAGAGTTTAGAGGGAATGAGACTTCTTTATTTCTACATTTCCAGCAGCCAACTTGGCCTGCTGCAGGTGCTAATAAATGTTTATTGAATTTGTCAATGAATTAATGAAGGTAAAATGCTGCGGGAGTGAAAATGTAGTGGGGAGAAAAACAGACGCAATGCTTTCCTCCAGGAGTAACAAAGGAGACCCCTAACAAATGCCCACGCCCTATGTCCTTATTGGACATTGGGTTGGTTGCCGTTGCTGGGCTCTGCCAGCTTTGAGAGTCTGTAAGCTTATGGCATACAGTGGCAAATGCCCACACAGCTTAAGAGCTTCTTGCTCAGGATGACCATATAATTCATCATCCAAACCAGGACACAGTTGAGGGAACTACAGCATTGTATTTACAATTGCTTCAGGTATATAACTGCTCCAGTATAAACTGGGACTGGCTCTGGGTAAACTGGGAAGTGTGGTCACCCTGCTTTTGCTCCTAGGAGCCTTCCCTGAGTGAGCAGAGTCCCCTATGGGGAGCTCAAGTAGTGTGTTCTACCCACCTGAGCTTTGTTTACCCCAGTCTTATGTCGAGGTCAACTGTTCTCTTTCAGGATATAAACTCAGGGTGTAGGGACTGTGTCCTTTTAATCCTCTCCACCTCTCTCCCTGATGTTGACTTGACACCACCAGATACACAGTAGGCTCCATGATGACCCACTGAATGGAAGAATTGGACTCCCAGTCCCCATTGTATTCTCGTCCACCCAAAAAATATTTGGTAAAGACTTAATTTGAACTAGTCCTCATGCTGGGCCCTGGGACAACAGAGATTAGTGGGAACCACAAGGAATTTTCAATTTGTGGAGAAGATAGACTTGAAAATAAGGGAGTCTAGAATGGAGGTTGTCACAGCTAGGAGGGATGAGCAGAGGGAGAGACAGACTCTACCTGGGATGGGAAGAGGGTGGTAGAGAGGGTCATCAACATACACTGGTAGTTATTCTACTCAGCATCATTTCTTCTCCTGGTAACAGCACCTTGATTTTCCTTTAGGAAATTCTTCTGCCTTATCCTTTAACCAGGTGGTTCATTTGAGGCTAATCTTACACATTGGCCCCCAGGACGGATATGAGCCTCAAGCCTGGCCAGTGGGAGCAACAAATATTCCTGGCCACAGGGAATGTTTCAAGCATGGGCAGTTAATAGGGCCAATGAGTGTTGATGTTGGCATTTCTACTAGAGTATTTAGGAAAGAGAAGCCCTCCTTCTTCCAGGAGCACTAAAGCTGGTATAATTATAGCCCAGAGATGTTCATGGTCATCTTGTCATCAGCAAGAAAGAAACTCCTTGAGAATGAAGCAACAAAGAGGAAAGCAGAGCCAAGAGATGGGAAGATCTGGTGGAATCATTTCAGGGCCTGGATCCAGCCATGCCTGAAACTGCATATTGACAGATTTCTCAATTTATCGAGCCACTATATTCTCTTTTCATGCTTAAGCTAGTCTATACTGGATTCTGTCACTTATAACTGGAAGACTTAATGGATACACCAAGTTTCACAGAGAGCATAGTACTAAGAGTAGGCAGTGAATAATGGCAGAGGAAGAGGCAGGGCCTTGCATGGGAGGGTGGTGGGGAGTAAGAGCAAAGACCCTGAGATGTGGAACAGCAACCCACGCTGTGATGCCCAGGGGTCAGCTCTGGGTGCCTGGTCTGACCTGGCTTACCCGTTTGTCATATGCCATTCCATGGGGACAGTTGTTGGCTGACACAGTGAGTGTTACTGTGTCATTCAGGGAGGTGAAGGTGACCGTGATGGAGTCCTGTCCCAGCACCTTTAGCTTCATTTGCTCATTCACCTGTAGATAAAGAAACAGTACTGAGAGAATCCCTGCTTCTACAGTCCCACTCACCCTTTCCTGACCCACCACAAAGCACAAAGCCCCTGTTGGCTTGGGGCTGAAGGTTTGTAAGAGCTTTCTGGTTCTTGCATTAGAATTTAGCTTCATGGAGAAGACAGAAAAATTCCAGGCTCCCCTGGGGGATCCACTAAAAAAGTAACTGATGCTTCCTTATTCCTACTCCTTTCCTTTCCAAACCAAGCATGAAATCCACTGTGAATGAGACACAGGTGTCTGGCAGGTGTGTCAGCTTCAGTTCTGGTAAAAATGGATTGGGAATGCAGCTTGGATCAGAGGGTAACCCTTTATCCCTGAATCGAACAGATGTGTCCACTTAGGCACCAGGTCTGACTATGACTTTTGTCCTACAACAGTGGGAAGGTGACCACATGGCAGGAAGCACCGAAAGCCCTCTGCAGATTGGGGGAAGATGTCAAAGAGTACCCAGAAGGGCCTGGGCTACATGTACGCAGCCCCTTCCCTTAAAGTCACCAAATATGTCACTACGCTTTCCCTGAGGAGGAGCCAAAGATGGGTGGAAAAAAGGGCAGCTACTCTTTATCATCACTTCCAAAAGAGTGGGATTTCCTTTAAGCAGTACCAGACTGCAACTTGGGGAGGGTGAGTTGCCCTTAAAACAATTCACTCCTTAGAGCTCTGTGGTCTATGGGTGAGTCCCAGTTCTGCCTCCTGATAACAAGCCATTTAGCTTCACTGAATCTCAACTTCTTCCACATGAAATCACTGAAAGGCTATTAAAGGGATCAAATGAGATAAAAATGGTGGAAGTGGTTTTGTAAGCCATTAAGGCCTATGTCCAGCATGAGCAGATATTGTCAGGACAAGGTAGAGCAACTCACATTTAAGGCTGCTGAACAAATTGCATGTGCAGAGCACTATTTACACCCTTCCTGAGAGTCTCAGAGTATACAGCCCTACACTGCTGGGCTTCTCTTAGTCTTCAATGTCCCTGACCTATAATATCCCCTTCCTTACAAATACCTCCAGGATGCCTCTGAACCAAAGAACAAACAAACAAAACACTCTCTGCTTTGCTCCTTCCATTTCCTTCGACTATTCTAGTTGCTTGCCCAGGGATCTAGCTTAAATTCTTTACTTTGAGTTTCTTCCTCATATCCTGCAGTCTGAACACTGGTTCCCACTAGCACCCTGAAAGTACTGAACTATGACTTGCCAAGTCTTTTGACATCTTCAAACTTGATCACTATCACTTAAAAGAAACGTTCCTCTCTCTTGTCCTCCTTCTAGAGGATTTGAGCAGGTGTCAAATCCCAGCATTGCCCCTTACCAGTTGGGCAATTTTAGACAAATTGGTTAGCTTCTCTGAGCCTGGGGACAATAATAATGAAAGGTAAAGTAAAAGTAAAAAGTTTTATCCCATGAAATTTTCTCATCAGATGCTTAGTAAATTTCAGCAGATTTCACAGGTTAGCACAGTGCAGCTTTTATTTATTATCCTTGCTTCCTGGATTGTTTCTCTTTTCTCCCCAACCTCCCAAGTATGGCAGCTCTACAAACCACAGACTTGTCTTCTTGAGAGTTCATTAGCCAGCCCATTATATCTTATCCATTATCCCCAATCTCTCACCTTAGGTCAGGGTCCACGTCACAGTAGCCCAGAGAGATATGGCCACTGAACCAAATAAGCATGTCTAAAACCATTTTGATCACTGACCCTCTCAGAAAATTCTGTTTCCAATCAGACACATAATCCATCATGGAGTCATCTACAATTCCCTCCTCCTTTCATCTGTAAGGCCATGCCCATGCATCACTGAGTTCTCTTATTGAAATGACCCCTTTAAAAAACATTGCCACCATTTGTAATGATGTTGGGTCTGGCTAGTAACTCCCCAACTGGTCTCTCCACAAGCCCATCCATTGGTCTCTCTCCAAGCAACCAAAAATGCTAGACTGAGCATTTCGGCCCTCAGCTTAAAAATCAAACAGCTGGTTCTAATTCCAGTATAGCTGAGTCAGTGCCTGACTGGCTGCCTTCCTTAGATAACTTGAAAAAACAAAGAAATAACAACGACCCAAAGGTATGAAGAGTGAACAAATGCAGGCAGACTTAGAAGAGGAGTCAAAATTTAAAAGAAAGGAGCAGCATGGGATAATGCTTTGTTTTACAACGTTAGCCTGAAGGCAGGCCAAACTCCACCATCTTTCTGGCCTGAAGAACCCAGAGGACAGAACCTGAAGCAACCACAGTCACAGGAACATATGGAAAGAATTCCAGAAGGGATAGGACAAGAGATGGAGAGGCCAGAATTCTATGTATAAACTGTCCATGTCTCTGGCTGATCCTTGAACCATCCATGAGCAGGGAAGACTCAAGATACCTTATGGTTGAAAAGAACAACAAACATAAAAACTTGAACTGAGATGTGAGCTTCTGCAAGTAAAACAGTTTGTGGTTTCAGTCTAACCAAGTTCATTGCCTATGAAAACAAGAATATCAACACTCTTCAGAGAAATACACCAGAATTCAGAGACTCACCACACACCATTCACAATGTCCACCTACAATCCAAAATTTTGAATATGTGAAGAACCAGTGAAGTGTGAGCTCTTCTCAAAGCAACAGATAATCAACAGAGGTCAACTCTGTCTGATAAGACCCAAACATTGAAGTTTTCAGACAAGAATTTTAAAGCACTGATTTTACTACACTAAATTAGGTAAGGGAAAATGTACTTGTAGAAATTATAAAATATGGAATCTCAGCAGAGAAATAGAGAATATAAAATTATCTATCTGAAATTTTAAATTGTTACATTATCATAATAGTAGAATGGAGATGACAGAATAAAGTTTTTGAACTTGAAGACAGATCTAGAGAAATTATCAAATCTCAAAAGTAAAGAGAAAACAAATGTGAATAACAACAACATAAGCGAGCTTAGGAACCCTTGCGACAATATCAAAAAGTCTAAAATAGATATAATTGGAGTCTCAGAAGAAAAGGAGAAAGATTGGAGTAGTTTTTTTTTTTTCTAAAGAAGGTTTAGATGATTCCCCAAATTTGGTGAAACAAATTTAAATGAATTTACAGACTCAAGAAGCTCAGTAAATGGAATAAATATGAAGACAACCACACCTAGACACCTCACAGTTAAACTTAGAAAACCAAAGAAAAGAGAAAATCTTGCAAGCAGCTAAAGAAAATAAACAGTAACTTGAATAACTACAGACTTCTTATAAACTGTGGAAGACAGACACAGTGCAACAACATCTTTAAAATGCTGAAAGAAAAAAAAATCATCCCAAAATCATATCCAGCAACAATATCCTTTAATAAAGAGATTTCTTTTCTTCATGAAAGAAAACAGAGAACACGTTGCCAGAAGATATGCACTTCAAGAAAGCCAAAGAAGTTCTTCAGGCTGAAGAGAAATGGTACCAGAGGAAACTTGGATCTTCAGAGAGTAAGGAAGAACACTGGAAAGAGCAGCTAGGTAAAAACAAATGGGCCCCTGCAACCTCCAAGACAGCGTGCAAACTCCTCAGTCTACATCCAGTGCTCCCACCTCCACCTGACATCATACACACCTCTTGCTCCAACTTTCTTTCACAAGAAGCACTTGTGACCTCTTAAAAAAAACACATTTAGTCCCAACTCCAACCTTTGCAGATGCTGCTCCCACTACCCAGAAGACTTTTCCCTCTTCCTCCTCTCTATGTGAATCATACACACTCACCCCCATGCTACAACCCCAGGGCCACCTTCTCTTCCAGGCCACCCCTGACTTCACATGCCTCTATTGTGCTTTTCTTCATGCAGCTCCAAGGAATATAACAATGAACTAAAATACACTGGTAAAACACTTCATTGATGTCAAAGCACCTTCCCCTCCATTATTTCATTTCTTCTCATGAAAGTACCATGAGGCTGGAGGGCAGTTCTGGTGACCCATTTTGTATAGATGACACAACTGAGACTCAGAGAAGCTGAGAGGTTTTCAAAAAGTTGCACAGCCGAAGTCTGGCAAACCTGGCCCTAGTACTTAGCTCCTCAGATTCTTATCACAGTTCTCTGCTTAGCCACACTAACACACAACTTACGATGCCTTCCTTCAACTGATTTCTAATCTTGGAATTATAAACTTTTCATACAGCTATGAAACATTAAACATTAAGAAAACAACACAATACACCCCTAGACTGGGGATCTCAGACCTGGCCAAGCCTCAAAAATGTTTGTGAAAACCACAGAAATCCAAAATTCCTAATATACCAACTGAGTCAGTGTTGCTCTGGGGCTGTGACTGGGATCTGTATTTTATAAAAAGTCCCAGAGGTGATTCTCATATGCAGGCAGAGATGAGAACCTGTTCCTGATATTAATTGCCAAGTGACTAATCCAAAGTGTGTGCACTGGGAGAAGACAGAAATGGGTGTGGGATGGGATGCCACAAAGGAGGGAGTTTGGGCAGGGCTTTGAAGGAATTTGGAAGGACATTTGCACTGGCAAAGAGAGGAAGGGGTGCATTTCAGGCCAAGGGAGTAGGAAAGGTGAGACATGTTCAAGGGATTGAATATTCCTGAACAGCGGTATGGTCTGAGGAATCAGAGCATAAGGAGGAGAGTCAGTGGCCAGTATAGGGGATGAACTGAGAGGATAAGAGACAGGAGACTAAGGGTAGGGGCTGGAGCCCTCCCATGCACTCCAAGAGTGCTTGTGTCCACAACCATTATGGTGAGACTCTTCATCTGGGGCCAGCTTGACTAGCTGTTCTGTGATCTTCCTCTGAATTCCAACACTTGCCCTTCTCTCGCAGTTCTTATCTGTGTCTGCCCTGTGGTCTTATTACTCCCTTAAACTTTTGAGTTCCTTGATGGGTTTTGTTTCTCCTTCCATCCTCCAACTGGTGATTCTCAACTGGGTGGCAGTTTTGCCCTCCAGAGGCTACATTTGGTGGTGCCTGAAGATACTTTTGGTTGTCACAACTGGGAAAGGGGATACTACTAGAATCTAGTGGGATGCTAAACTTCCTACAATGCACAGTTATAACAAAGAAATATCCATCCCAAAATGTCAGTGGTGTCAATGATGAGGAACTCCGTCACAGATAAAGTGACAAGCATATTTAATTGCTTTATTAATAAGTTTATTAATTTATTAATAATTCAGTCTTCTTTATGATGTTATTTAATAAATCTTTGGTGAATTATTATCTGAATAGCCAAATGAATGAAAAAAGAGTTTGTATCTATCAGCCACTTTTGACTTCCAGATTGTTTTATTTTATAGATAACAAAGTTACAAATATCAAAACTGGGGAGACCAACACAGAATCGCTAATTTTTATTATTGCTGCACATAGGCATTAAAAATAAAGCTATCAACTACCATAACTGTTACTTTATTAAACACATTTGAACAGAAAAATAGAATGATATTAATAATAAAAATTACACCGGAAGGATATTACCAAGAAATGTCAGTAAAGCGGCCAATAGTTTAGGCTGGTGAAAAGTTCCCTTCAGCCAACCTGGACCACCATCCACCAATTTGGGAACCTCGGAATGAGATTACAAGCTCCTTCAGGGTAGGACTCCTCTCTTACAGACAGCCCTGAGCTTTTAATGCTAGGCAGTGCATGGCAGAATGCCTAGGCCCTCCCTGTGGCAGTGAGCACCACTGTGCTGCCCATCCCTACCTTGTATTCCAGGGAAAGCAGGGTCTCCGTCCTGGAAGTCCAGCTCCATTTGTGGACTACATAGCCCTGCTGGTCATTGGTGGTCCCACCTTCCTCATCCAAGACTAAGACATATGGGCAACTAGGAGAGATACAGATGTGAGTAGCTGCCACCAGGCCCCTGAAGGAAGCTCTCATCAGTGCAGGCTGTGGCAGCTCTGTAAGGTCTGTAAGACTCAGTCCAGGCTGTAGGAATGGTGGAGTCCTGCAGGCAGCCTCACTTTCCCTACCTGCTATGGTCTGAGGCCCTTTACCACCTGTTGATGCTACTGGAGGAGCCAAGTCTGAGAGAGATAATGAAGGCTCAGGTCAAACCCAAGAGGGGAAGAAATGGAATTTGTGCTCTGTTGCCTAGTAGCCTGATTGGTGCCTGTATAACAGGCCTAGTAGCCTGTTGCTTGGTGCCTGTATAACAGGCACCAAGATGGGAAATGGAACACCTATAACGTAAGAGTAACTCATTTCTTCCAAGAACAGTTCCTTATGAAAAGCCAGGCAAACCCAGACATGGTGGCTTATGCCTGTAATCCCAGCACTTTGAGGGGCTGAGGCAGGAGGATCATTTGAGGCTAGGAGTTTGAGATCATCCTGGTCAACATAGTGAAGCCTTGTCTCTACAAAAAATTTAAAAACTTATCTAGGCATTGTAGCACATGTCTGTAGTCTCAGCTAACCCAGGAGGCTGAGGTGGAAGTATCACTTGAACCCAGGAGTTTGAGGCTACAGTGAATTATAATTATGCCACTGCACTTCAACCTGGGTGACAGAGTGAGAGCAAGACCCTGTCACAAAACAAAAACAAAAAGAAAAGCCAGACAATATCAACCTTTGGCTGGGAATAATTTGCACTTCTTTGAAAAGATGCCACAGAAGTAGTGTGTTCACGCCTCTCCTTCACCCACTCCTGGTATAAAACACTTTTTTCAACTAAATAATTCTTCCATTAATATAACTAACAGTCAAGATCTTAGTGCTCTGGGGTACCAAGTGGAATAGGACTTGGGAAGTTGTCCTTATCACTGGCTGTGACACAGATACAGCAAGGAAGGGCTAAGCCTTAAAGTTCCTATGTCCCTACAGAAATAGCCTCAGCCCTGCCTCACTGCCTTACTAGACCTCTAGACGCTGCTTGGCTTCTTCTTTCACTAGGGACTCAGAGTCACCACCTCAGTCCTCCCTCCATCACCCTCAGAGGTACTTCCATGAGACTAGTATTCTCCCATTCCACTTACCTGGTTTTTAGGTTGTAGTGAACATAGACCTGACCTTTAGCATTGAATAGGGCCAGCAAGGAGGAGCCAGGTATGTCATTAAAGAGATAGGTGATGGTTCTCCCTCTGCAGCATGTGGGGATCTGACATATAGCGACATTTCCAGAGGGATAGCTGGCAGAAATGTTCAGGAAGAACTAACAAAAAATTTCCCTGGTTCTGCTGTCAGGTATCCCATTGAAGCAAGTCCACATGTCAAAGTGTTAGCTATTTGGTGCATCATTCTCCATCTTCAAACACCCTCCTTGCATTTTGCATAAGCAACAATTATATGATTATGGAACCCAACGATGCCCTAGCTGCTTTTCTGTATCTTCTTTCTATTTTCTCACAACCACCTTGTGGTAGGTAGTATTATCTTCTTTTCACAGATGAGTAGGGTCCCCCTGGGTCTAATGGGTTTTCTGAGACATAGAACTTCCGGTATAAAACCTAAAAAGTCCTAGGTAAACCAGGATGAGTTGGTCACCCTACAGATGAGGAATCTAAGGTGCAGAAAATTATCTGCCCCATTTCACATCACAAAGAAGTGGCAAAGCCAGGATTTGATTGCTGAGGCCAGCAATATTTCTAACACTGTCAGGCTGCTCCCTCTTCTGACCAATCAAGGAGGACAGGTAATGTCTCCTTGTTCATTTTCTAGTAAAGAGGGCCCAAGAAGCACTGGTCCTGACTAAGAAAGACATGGTGTGGGCAGCCACTGTCCTGTGTGCAGGAATTTCACAAGCAGTACCCCAGACAGAGAAGCATTTCAGAATGAAAGCAGAAGGAAAGGAAATAAAGAAAAATTAAGATTCGCAGGGACCTATGGGAGGCCATCAAGCATATCAACATATATAAAATAGGAGTCCCAGAAGGAGAGAAAAATGAAGGTACAAGGAATATTTGAAGAAATGATGGCTGGAAACTCCCCAAATTTGATGATATACATGTTTAAGAAGCTTAACAAACTCCAAGTAGGACAAATTCAAAGATATTCTCACTGAGACACATTATAATCCAACTGTCAAAAGACAAATACAAAGAGAAAATCTTGAAAGCAGCAAGACAAAAAAGACTCCTCATATATAAGAGATTTTCAATAAGATTCAGGACTGATTTCTCATCAGAGACAATGGGGTTTAGAAGGTAGCAATATGAAATATCTAAAGACCTCAAAGGAAAAAAATAAAACTGTAGGCCAACAATTCTATGTCAAGCAAAATTATCCTTCAAACATGAAGAAATTAAAACATTCCCAGAAACAAATATCGAGAAGGCTAATCACTAGTAGACCTGCCCTACAAAAAAAAAAAAGTGCTGAAGAAAATCCTTCAGGCTGAAATGAAAGGACACTAGATAGTGACTCAAACTCATACAAAGAAAAAACGAACACTAGTAAAATTAACTATATAAGTAACTATAAAATCCTGTATTCTATTTTCAGCATATAATTTTTCTTTTTTTTTCTTTATGATTTGAAAGATAAATCTATAAAACAATAATTGCAAACCTATATTAATGGGTAAACAATATATCTGTAAAATATAATTTCTGATAAAAACATAAAGGGTGGTCATATAGAACTATATAGGAGCAGAGTTTTATATACTATTGTGGCTAAGTTATTCAAACTAGAGTGTTAATTGTAATACCCAGGTATATTAGTTTCCTAGGGCTATCATAACAAAGTACTGTGGCTAAAAGCAACATAAATTTATAATCTCACACTTCCAGAAGCTAAATGTCCAAGATCAAGGTGTCAACAGGGTTATATTTTGGAAGGCTTTGGGGAAGAATCCTTCCCTACCCCTTATAGTTTCTGGTGGCTGCCAGAAATCTTTTGGTATTCTTTGGATTGTACATGCATCATTTCAATCTCTGCTCCAGTCATCACATGGCTTTCTTCTGTGTGTCTGCGTGTATCTGGGTGACTGTTTTCTTTTCTTATAAGGATACCAATCACTGCAGTAGGGCCCACCCCAACAATATGACTGCATCTTAAAAATCACATCTTCAGAGCCCCTATTTCCAAATGTGGTAATATTCTGAGGTTCCATGTGGATACAAATTTTGGGAGACACCATTCAACTCATTATACCAAGACAACCCTAGAGAAATAACTTAAAAATATGGAGAAAAGGAAATGAGAAGTAAATCAAAATGGCATGCTACAAAAAGTCAGACACAAAAAGAGGAAGTAATGAAGAAACCAAGAAACAAAGATGCTATAAGACATATAGAAAACAAATTTAAAAATTAAAGAATTAAGTCCTTTTGTATCCACAATTACTTTAAACAGAAGTAGATTAAACTCTCTAATCAAAAAGTCCACAGCTGAGGCATGAGAATCACTTGAGCCCAGGAGGTAGAGGCTGCAGTAAGCCAACGTCACGCCACTAAACTCCAGGCTGGGAGAGAGAGTGAGACTCAGTCTCAAATTAAAAAAAAAAAAAAAAAAAAGCTGGCAGGATGAATTTTTAAAAACCAAAACATGATTCAACATATGCTGTGTCTAAGAGACTCACTTTAGATCCAAAGACACAGCTTGGTTGAAAGTGAAATGATGGAAAAAGATATTCTATGCAAATTGTAACCAAAATAGAGTAGGGGTGAATATGCTAATGTCATGCAAAATATATGTTAAATTAAACATTTTACAAGTGACAAAGAAGGACATTACATATTGAGAAAAGGGTGAATACCTCAAAAATATGTAAAAATTATAGAGATATACGCACCTAATAAAAGAGCCTCAAGATACATAAATAAAAAACCTGATAGAATTAAAGGAAGAAATAGTTCTACAAAAATAGTTGGAGACTTCACTAACTCATGTTCTATCCAATAATGGATAGAACAACTAGACAGAAGATCAATAAAGAAATAGAAGCCTTACGTTGTATGCAGTGGCTCATGCCTGTAATCCTAGCACTTTGGGAGACCAAGGCAGATGGATTACCTGAGGTCAGGAGTTCAAGACCAGCCTGGACAACATGGTGAAACCCCGTCTCTACTAAAAAATACAGAAAAATTAGCTGGACATGGTGGTGCACACCTGTAATCCCAGCTACTTAGGAGGCTGAGGCAGGAGAATCACTTGAACCCGGGAGGCAGAGGTTGCAGCAAGCCAAGATTGCACCACTGCACTCCAGCCTGGGAGAAAGAGTGAGACTGCAGCTCGAAAGAGAGAATGAAAGAGAGAAAGAAGGAAAGAAGGAAGGAAGGAAGGAAGAAAATAGAGGACGTGAACAACATTACTAACCAACTAGAACTAACAGGAACATGCAGAATCCCACCCAAACACAGCAGAACACATATTCTCACATTCACATGGATCATTCTCCAGTACAGACAATATGTTAGGCCACAAAACAGGTCTCAATAAATTTTAAAAGACTGAAACCATAGAAAGTATCTCCTTTGATCACAATGGAATGAAACTAGAAATAACTAACAAAAGAAAATGGGGAAGATTCACAAATACATGAGAATTAATAAAGAAATCACAAGGAAAATTATAAAATACTTTGAAATGAATAAAAACAAAACACAGCATATCAAAACTTATCATAGAAAGGCAAAGCAGCACTCAGAAATTTATAGCTATAAATACCAACATTAAAAGAAAAGAAAGATCTCAAATTAATAACCCAATTTTCTACCTTAAGGGACTAGAAAAAGAAGGGCAAATTGAAGCGAAGCTAGCAGATGGAAGAAAAAAAGAAAGATCAGAGTGGAGAAAAACAGAATAGAGAACAGAAAAATAGAACCAACAAAACTAAAAGTTGTGTCTTTGATAAATTGATAAAGCACAAACTTCTAGTAGACAGATTAAAAAAAAATAACAGAGAAAGGCTTGAATTCCTAAAATCAGAAATGAAAGTGGGCCTTAAATAAAAAGTATCCTAATACAATAATACAAACAGCTGTACACCATAAAGTTAGATAACCTAGATGGACAAATTCCTAGAAACACATAAACTACCAGAAGTGATGCAAAAAAAAAAGTAAAAACTCTAAATAGAACTATAGCAAGTAAAGAGATTAAATCATTAATGAAAAATCTCCCAACAAAGAAAAGCCTAGGACCAGATAGATTCACTGGTGAATTCTACCAGACATTTAAAGAATACCAATCCTCCTCAAGCTCTTCCAAAAAATAGAAGAGCAGAACTGAACACTTCCTAACTCATTCTATTAGGCCAGGGTTACCTTGATACCAAAGCCAGACAAATACATAAAAAGAAAACTTCCCATATCTCTTATGAATATAAACATAAAATATCTTAACAAAATACCAGCAAACCAAATTCAGCAGCATCAAAAGGATTATTCCTGTGACCAAGTGGGGTTTATCCCAGGAATGCAAGTATGGTTCAACATACAAAAATCAGTGTAATGTACCATAGTAATAGAATGGAGGGAGGGGAATTATGATCATCTTAATTGATGAAGAAAAAGCATTTGACAAAATTCAATACCCTTTCATGATTAAAAAGCACTCAACAACTTCAAAATAGAAAGGAACTCCCTTAACATATTAAGAGCCATATATGAAAAAACTCACAACTAACATCATAATCAATGGTGAAAGAATGAAAACTTTTCCTCTAAGATAAAGAACAAGACAAGCAGGACTGCTTTCACCACTTCTATTCAAGATTGTACTGGAAGTTCTGGCCACAGCTTAGCAACAAGAAGAAATAAAAAGACTCAAAATTGAAAAGGAAGAAGTAAAATGACCTCTGTTTGCAGATGACATGATTTTATATATAGAAAATTCTAAAGAGTCCACACAAAAAAATCTAGAACAAATAAATTTAGAAATGTTACAGATATAAGATCAACACACACAAAAGAGTTGTCTCCAAGAACACAGATGTCTTTCAATTTATTTAGGTCTTCTTTAAATTAATTTGGCAATGTTTTCTGTGTACAAGTTCTGTACCACCTTGCTATTTATTTGTTCTCGTTTATACAGCATTTTGTATTGCTTGTTGCCAGTGCTCATGGGTTGGAAGAATTAATATTATTGACTGGTGTGGCTCATCCTGTAATCCTAGCACTTTGGGAGTCTGAGGCAAACGGACCACTTGAGGTCAGGAGTTTGAAAGCAGCCTGGCCAACATGGT